TATATATATACTTATGCTTATACTTATATACTTATATATATACATATATATATACTTATATATATACTTATATACATATTTATACATATACTTATACTTATATATATATATATTTATACTTATACACGTGTGTGTGTGTATATGTGTATATATATATATACGATAGGTAGGAGCACAGTAGAGAAATACTTATTATAATGTTCTAGCTGATAAAACAAATCTCGCAACATTGGCCCCATTTCTTTATTCAAAATGTAGAATTGCACAAGCATACGTAATCCAGTAAAATTAGATCGCCGTGGATGTTACGATAATTTGAACTTCGCAGATTTAGGGGATTCGGCCGGTGCTTCCTCTTCGAGATCGAAATGGAGCGGTTCGCTCTCAGATAATAAACGTGCGCTCGGTGGCTCGGTGGCTCGGCGCCATCGTTAAATCGCGTTTTAGTGTGCGATCGGCGTGAATTACGTCGATCCCGCGTCGAGAAATCATTGAAGAAACCGATCACGTCCTGGCCGAAGACTTTCTCCGAAAAACAGGGAGAAATATCGCGGTTGAAGAACGTTGCGTCAAAGAAGAACAACGCGATCGTGCGTGTAAACAGCGCGATAAATCGATACGATGCTCGACGATCGGCTTGCGCAACGAGGAAATGATTTCAGTGGAGAGATTTGTCAGACAGTTGTATTCGCAACGTGACGTTGCGAATGCCGATCAAACGACGGATCGATCTCGATGCGATCGTCTTGAAGTTTTGAACGGTCTTGCAAAGAGCCAGCTTGCGAAATGAAATCTTGTAACTGTATCCTTTTAACCCTTGGAAACGTTTTCAAATCAACTCGTGGATCTACAGCTGATTTGCAACGGTACGCATTTAAGGGGTGAATCGGTATCTAAAAATCGTGAATCAGATATGTTTACAGTTTCTCGAGAAACTATCGTGTATTAATTTCTTTCTTTTTTCAAGTATGTGTTCGCAGTGAATGCGTCCCTAAATGTCTAGTCATGATTTTTATATAGTTTGATTCAGTTTGATTTGGAGAAAACTCAAATCTGGAAATATAGAAGTTTATGTTATGTCATGTAATCTGTTTGTTTAGTTAGAAACTTACCCGAGAAATGTTACTAATTTACTTTTTTTTTTCTTTTTAGTTTTATGTATTTTATCCTGTGTAACATTTTTTTTTTTTTTCACTATAAAAACTTTTGCTTTAAATTGTCGATGAAAAAGAAAAACGAGGATGTCTCTTTCCAATTTTCCAGTGGTTTAAGCAAGGCAAGTGTAAAATAATAAATTTTATGAATATTAATTTTAATAGATATTAGCAGTGAAAGAAAAAAGCCTTGCCAAAAATTAAAATGTTAGATGCTAGGAGACGAGTTCAGTGACCTACATCGCAAGGTTACCGAAGGTCACATGCAGGTGACAGGTTAGGTGAGCGAACTTTAAAGAGTCCTCGTTGTTGCATGCCGTTTATGTATACAAACTGGCACGAAACTAACGCAGGCAAAAATTGCAAACGCAATCTCTGTCGTGGCTCATCCTTCGCCGATCGTTTTCATCATTACGCGATGGAAAAGTTCAAAATTCCCCAAATATCCCCAAAATAGTGTCGATTCATTAAGAAATTCACTAACTTTCTCGGCTCATTATCGAAACAACCAGCCAATTATCGAATTCTGTTTTTTAAATGCTCTAGTTGCGAATTGTGTAAATATGTGCCAAGAATTTACTTAGAATTAGTCCAATAATATAATTCCAACAGATTATGATACAAATAAGAAGTAACAAATGAAATTAAACGTTGTTTAACTCCGACTTACGGAGAAAAACTGTATTGGAAAACGCTGTTGCGTTCGAGCCTGTTGAGATCGATTTTCTTTTCGTCTTATTTCCTCGTATTACTTATGAAACATCGAACAAAGTTATTAACACGCCAGGAACAAGGACATTCTACGATCGAGGAACAATTCCTATTTAACTGATTCTCGTTTATTTTTTATTGAAAGATTCAAAACTACGAACTACATTATTTATAGGAGGATCGATAGACAGATCGCGTATTGATCTCGCGAGCATTCCCGGCTTAGAAATCACGACGAAGTATTTTTAACATACGCCGTTTTTAACATACGCCTGTGTGTTGAATTAACTATTTATTAGTCATGGCTGAAAAATTGATCGACCGACGGTTCAACGCACCGGCTCTGATTTCAACTTCGACGAGTGTTGATAGGAACGCTTCGTTGATAAGAATTATTCTTAATATTTACTTAGAGGGTGGAAACTTTTCGAAAAAAATTCCGGAACATCGAAAGAAAATAGGGACGAGTCGTATTTCTTTCGTTTCTTTTATTATCTCGGAGCAATTTCGAAATATCAAATGCACTGAGATTAAACGCTGTGTCAAATTGATCGTCATAAAATTAACTAGTTATATCTCTGATTTTATTTATTTATTTATTTTTTTTTTGTTCTTACAAATCTGCGAGTTTTGAAACCTAAGAGGTTGTTCCCTTTTTCAATTACGTCATGTTAAAGCACTCTCTCGATAGTTTCAATATTTAAGTAAGAAAATCAACGAACCATCAGTTATCACGTTGTTCATTAGTGAGAGAGAACCTACGTGGTTTATGGTCGTTGATTTCAATTGGACTAGTTAAGCAGGAAGGAGTGTTCGATGATCGATGATGATCGATTTTTTTAGAAAAAAGTAAGTCGCGTGGGCGTGGGAGGAGGGGGCCAAGTCGGGCAAGGGGTACAAGCGGTTGAGGATTCCGGTGCAAGCGGTCAATGGTGGAGGCAACAGCATCCATCGTATCATCATCATCATCATCATCATCACCAACATCATCACCATTATCATCATCAGGCCGGTTATTATACGTCGCAATCGCACACTCACAACAACCCTGTCACGACCATGAAGCAGTCTTACATGCAGGTTGGTCAACTTGTACTCTCACGCATGCCACTTTGTTCTCGTTTCACGCGTTATCATCGGCTAAACGTTGTCACTGTTTCCTTCACGAACGTGAAACTCGTCGTGCCCGCGTTGCCGCGGACTCGATCTGATATATACGTGTATATATATATATATATATATATTATTTCTATCGTTCGATCTCGGACGAAACGAAGTGACAATTGCCCGGAAACTGAATTCACTCCGATTCCGTTTCTTTTCTTTTTTTTGATTGCAGCTAACATGGGTGTTTCATGACGACGAGGCGCAGATTAATAAGAAACTGCCAAAAGAATTGCTGCTTAGGTATCGTAACACGTTACAGACACTTGATTTAGACCTGATCGTTTTACTACCTAGC